AGAGGCAATGAGATTGGCACAGGACAGAGCAGGGTTTAGGGCTGTTGTACATAGGGTCGCTATGAGTCACAAACGACTCGACGGTACATAACAACAACAACATATGAAGGTTGGACAATGAATAAAAAGCTCAGAAGAACTGATGTCTTTGAATTGTGGTGTTGGTAAAGAGTATTGCACATAGCACCACCTGCAAGAAGAACAAGGACGTTTGTGTGAGAAGCGCAGCTGGAGTGCTCCTCGCAGCCAAGAAGGGTGAAACTTCATGCCACATACTCCGGGCACATGGTCAGGAGGGCCAGCCACTGGAAAAGGACATCCAGCTTGGAAAGGCCAGAGGAAGATCCTCCACAAGTCAGACTGATGTAGTGACCACAGCTTGGGCAAGGCCGACTGGGAGGACAGCACCAGATGGGCAGGGCTTACATCTGTGCGCACGGTGGCCCGGGCCGAATGGAGTCAGCTGTACCTGACAGCTCAGTCCTCTGATGATTGGCTTTCACGTCAAGGGTTATTCACTACATGACTGCTATGTATACGTTATGTGTACGTGTCTGGGGAGACACAGTTCAGTGCACAACATTCACTGATATAGGGGAGCTCTGGTGGCCTAGTGGCAAGAAGATGCACTACAATCCAAGATGTGCACAGTTCAAATCCACCAGATACTCTGCTGAAGGAGGGGCAATCTCCTCCTGTACCAGTCAGATCTGATTTGACGGTACACACACACACAAAAAATAATAATAAAATTTAAAAAATTCACTGATGTAGAATTTGAAGCGAATGTTTCCGAAGCCTACTGTTGCATATTTTTTTTATATATTATGTTTTCTTTTGGTTTTTAAAGTATCAATTTGTATTTAAGTAACAACTTTTTAACTTCAAAATACTTTTAGCCTCATATAAACCATACCTTTTCAATCTATATGCAGAACAGATCCTCTGCGAGGCTGGGTTTTATGAGGAGGAATGTGGCATCAGGATTGGAGGAAGACTCATCAACAACCTGCCTTATGCAGATGACACAATTTTGCTTGCTGAAACTGAGGAGGACCTGAGGCATTTGCTGCAGAAGGTTGGGGACTTCAATGTGGATTAAAGCTCAACATCAAGAAACAAAGATTGTCACCACTGGACTAATTGGCAGGATCATAATGAATGGAGAAGAGATTGAGGTTGTTAACAGTTTCATCTTGCTCAGATCCACAATCAATATTCTTGGCACAAGCAGCCGGGAAATCAAATGATTCGTTGAATTAAGAAAGTCAATTGTCAGGGACCTCTCCAGACTGCAAGAGAGTACAATGTCATTCT